TAGGAGGGAGATGGGATAAAGGTGGGATGAGATGGTGAGGGGAGTGGCATGGAGATGAGATGGGAATGGGGAAGGGGATGGGATGGGGTTGGGAACAGGGAGAGGATGGAGATAGGAATGGGGAAGGATGGTATTGGGATGGGAATGAAATGGGATGGGAACAGGGGTAGGATGGGGATAGGAATGGGGAAGAGCAGGATATTGGGATGAAGAGAGTGTGGGGATGGGGATGGGGATGGGGATGAGGAGCCAGTCCTGGAGCAGCAGGAGCTGTGTCCAGTGGGATGTGGATGGGAATGGGATGGGATGTGGAGGGGGACGAGGAGCCGGCCCTGGAGCAGCAGGGGCCGTGCCACCGGCCGCGCTCTCCCGCGGGATGCGGAGCTGAAGTGCCGCAGGCTCGGGCGGGAGGAGAAGCGTGCGAGGGGGTGGGGAGGGCGGCGGGGGGACGGAGGGGCTGCCGCTTGTGTGAATGTGCCCCCGCTCATTGTTCCGCGGCTTTATTCGGTGGCCTCGATGGGACGGATTTAGAAATCCTAATCAGGGAGCAGTCTCTGCGCCTCCCGAGTGTGACACAACTTGAGCTGCTCCGGGGCGCCTTTGTTCCCTAATGACAGCTGACTTCATGCAGCAGTGGGAACAGTTTGAGCATAACTCCGCACCGCCGGCTGGCAGCTGCAGAGTTAACTCCTTCTTGCCCACCTGCCCTGCGCAGGGGGATGGACAGCGGGGCCGTGAGGGATGCTCGGCTTCACCTCTGGCACCGCTCCTGAGGGCATGGAGGACACCAGGCTGGTGCTTTCGGCTCTGTCTGCACGCAGCAAAGTTTCCCAGGGGAAACTTTGTTTCTAGACTCATTAAGGGTGGAAAAAAATCTCCAAGTGCATCAAGTCCAACTTTTAATTGGGTCCCACCATGCCCAGCAAAGCAGCGAGGTGCTGCAGGTATCCCTCGGGAGGCAGCTCAGGTTATCCGAGCTGGTTACCCAGGCCGGGTTCGGGCACTGCCCGTGGGCTCTGCCGTGCTCTGGGTGCTGGAGGACGCCGCGGCCCCGCTGAGGGTGAAGGGCGGCTGCGGGGCATTGACATCACCGCATTGAAAGTAAAAGGCATTGAGTCATTCCAAGATGTTCCCGGAAGAGCCTCGTGGCCCTGCCAGCACCGAGCTCGGCAGCCAGCGCCATTCTCCCTCTGTTGGCCTCCCCTCCTCCCCTGGCAGAGCCGGGCTGGAGCTCCGTGTCCGGCCCGGAGCCCGGGCTGCGCTGGGGATGGGGCTCGCAACAGTTAAACCCTTCCTCTCCCCTTTCTGTTTGTTGTCAAACCGCTGCTGCGACCTGGGAAAATACTTGTGGAAAATTACCCCTATTACAGGGGGGCGAGGCAGAGCGGCTGGGCCTGACGGGCTGCAGCCCCGGCTCCCTCCCCGGAGCTGGGGCAGCGCTGTCCTGTCACCCCCGGCAGCAGATGGGGCCGTGCCGCCTTTCCCAGCACCTGTGTCCCCTCTGCCATCCCGGAGCGCGGCCGCCCATGCTTGGCCAGGGTCTCCCTGGCGACGGGGCCACGGGATGCTGTGCAGTCCATTTGTCACCAATTGTCACTGTTTTGTTCTGCCTTGTATGCGCACTCGATTGTGTCACGGGGGAGGTGAGGAGGAGCAATCAGGCCTTGTCTAATGGGCTGCGGGCTCCTGCTGGGGGGAAAAACCGAGGCTCGGCCGGCCGAGGGATCGGGAACGGGAACGGGAAAGGAAAGGGAAAGGAAAGGGAAAGGAAAGGGAAAGGAAAGGGAATAGGAAAGGGAACGGGAATGGGCATGGGAATAGGAAAGGGAATGGGAAGCGAAAGGGAAAGGGAAGGGGAAGGGAAACAGGAACGAGAAAGGGAAAGGGAATGGGAAGGGGAACAGGAATGGGAATGGGAAAGGGAAGGGAAGGGGAAAGGGAATGGGAATGGCATAGGGAACGGGAAGTGGAACAGGAAAGGGAATGGGAAGGGAAACAGGAATGGGAATGGGAATGGGAAAGGGAATGGGGATGGAAAGGGAAGGGGAAGGGAAACAGGAATGGGAAAGGCAAAGGGAAACAGAATGGGAAAGGGAATGGGAAAGGCTGGATCTGTACCTGCCACAGCATCCCACTTGCTGCCAGTGGGAATGGATCCTGGAGGTCTGGGGGGCCACAATGGGCAGGTAAAGGTCCTTACCTGTCTTAGGCAGGGATTTAGGTCGGTTTGGCTCTGCAAGGTGTCTGGATCCCAGGAAAAAGGACAGTGGAGGCAGTGCCAGCATTCCCACCCTTTGGAATGCCCCCATCCCCTTCCAGGGTGACATTCCCATCTGCCACCTTGGTCCCTGGCTGTGTCATGGAGTTTGTCTCCCCTCAGCCTAGGTTCCCTGCAGGACAGGCACATCCAGGAGGATCCTGACCCCGGGGAGGGCTGGGGCTGGATTAACACCTCCTTCCTGCCCAGCTCCTGATCCCCCTGAGCGCTGCTGAAAGGGATTTGATGCATTGTGGATTTTGGTACAACTCTGTCAGCATCTGTCAGCTTCTGGCTGGAGATCTGTCAGCTTTTGGAACCTCACACTAAACTATATATATATATATATTTATATACTTAATTTTCCCCTCTGCCTCACCATCCCCAGTGCCATGATTCATGTCTCCCTTCTTGGCTCCCCTTTTTCTTTTCCCCTTTACTCTTCCAGCACCAGGACTGGAGCAGAGCTCTGGCCAAGCCCAAGCCTCGGCAGCACCCTCAGGTTTAGCTGTAAACCTCAGCTCAGCCCAGGCTGGCCAAGGCTTTTACGGGAAGGCAGGAGGGAGGTGGGGAAAGCTGCAGCACTCAGCCCCAAACCCCACAAGCTGAGGCACTTCCAGCTTGGCTCCCAGAGCTGAAATCCCACAGAGGGAAGGGCAATGAGGGTGTCCCTGGCAAGGCAGCGGGATCCACAGAGCTTTTCCAGCACCTGGGCTTTGGCAGGTTCCTCTCCTTATTCCCTGCTGGCCATCGGTCCATGGCTCCAGAGTGATCCTGCTCCTTTGGCTCTGCAGGGTGGGGCAGCCTCGGGGTGGCTGTGCCATGGTACCCCCCCGGGGTTGGGTTTTGGGGGGGTTTGGGTGCTGTGCCTGTTGCCCACCCAGATTTTCCCGTCTCTGAGCCTGGCAGGAAACTGAACAGGGGCTGGATCCAGCTGAAACAGGGCCAGGAGAGCAGGTTCTGGCCTGGAAAATTGGTGTTGAGGGAGAAGATAAAGCAGGGAAGAGTGGGAGGGTGAGCTGAAGGATTGGGGGAGCTTTGGGAGCTTTTCAGTGAGGCCTCCAAGCTCAGCAGCCGGCAGCACCAGGCAGGGTTTTGGGAGAGCCCCATGGGGCAGCTCCTCACTCCCAGAGATCCCTGATGGATCCCAGGAAGGTCACAAAGTTCCGGGAGCTTCTCCAGAAAAGAAGAATTCTCTCTTTCATGTGCTCAGCACAGCAGAGTGAATAAGGGAAGGGCTGGAAGCAGGGCAGGAGGACCCCAAACAAAGCTGCATTTCCTCAGGTTTGGTTTTTCCCCTAAAAGAACAGAGGTGAAATTGCTCCAAAGCCATGCTGGGAGCAGCATCCCAGCACTTATTTCTCTCAGGGAGCTGCTCCCTTCACCCTCCTGGGTGTGATGGAAGAAGGAGCACGTAACCCTGGCCTGGGGTGAGTTTTATCTCCCTGTTCAGGAGGTGTGGGGCAGCACAAAGCCAGGCTCCAGCAGGGCTCCTATCGCAGCAGAAAATCCAGCTGGAAGGTGTCACCTGCCAGAAAGAGCTCCAGGGTCCTGAAAGGAAACCAGCTCACCCAGTTCAGCCTGGCTGTGTGTTAATCCCTGCTGCAGGGTGTCCTCTGGACCATCTCCTGCCCACTGCCCCGGCCTCTGCCACTGCAAAGGGAATTCGGGGGAAGTTTTGGGTTGGAGGTACATCCACTGTGTGTGTTTGGGACTCAGGGACTCACTCTGTGGTGGTTTTGGGGTGTTTGGGGCTGGTTGTGGGGTCTCAGTGTGGGAGGTGGTCATGAAAGGGGGGCTGCAGCAGTGGGAGAACAGAAAATGGAATTTTAACCACAATTAAGTTCAAAAGGGAAGAAATGGGGTTTGTGTGAGCAGGATGCTGGTGTTGAGCAGGGCCAGCCCAGCAGCCCAAATTTCATCAGGCAGCTCTCCTTCCTCATCCCTGTTTTGCACCAGGTGATTTCCCCCAGCCAAGCTACTCCCACCCCACTGCTGCCCGGGCTCCTTGCTGCTTTTCAGGATCAAAAAAACCCCTGGCTCATCCCTCTCCTGCTGATCCCAAAAAGTCCTGGCTGATCCCTGTCCCACTGCCTCCATTCCTTTGGGATCCTCTCTGCTTTCAGGATCCCAAAAGCTCTGGATGATCCCTGTCCTGCTGATCCCAAAAGCCCAGGGTGATCCCTGTCCTGCTTATCCCCAAAAGCTCTGGCTGATCCCAAAAAGCCCTGGGTGATCCCTGCCGTGCTGTGTCATTCCTTTTGGGTTCTTCTCTGCTTTTCAGGATCCCAAAAGCCCTCGGTGATCCCTGTTCTGCTGATCCCAAAAAGCCCTGGGTGATCCCTGTCGTGCTGTGTCCTTCCTTTTGGGTTCTTCACTGCTTTTCAGGATCCCAAAAGCCCTCGGTGATCCCTGTTCTGCTGATCCCAAAAAGCCCTGGGTGATCCCTGTCCCACTGCCTCCATCCCTTTGGGCTCATTGCTGTTTTTCAGTATCCCAAAAAGCCCTGGGTGATCCCTGTCCTACCGTGTCCATCCTTTTGTGTTCTTCTCTGCTTTTCAGGATCCCAAAAAGCCCTGGCTGATCCCTGTCCCGCTGCTCCCACCCCTTTGGGTTCCCTGTTTTTACCAAACGCCTCCCTGGGCGGATCCGTCCGTGCCAGAGAGAGGAAGCGCCGGGGATGATGCAAATGGGTTTTGTCAAAATATTTTTGGAGGGAATAAAAATAGCTCCAGGAGCCAAATCTATTTCTGTTCCTGGGAAGGAGAGGGCTTGTTGGGGCTGTTTGCTCCAGGTGCTGCTGGAGCAGGAAGGGCTGGGTTAGCCTCGGGTTTGGATGGGAATCCGCTGGTTTCCCACACGGCGGTGCCTGGAAGAGGAGGTCGGTGTCTCCCTGCTCTCCTGGCTCCTGGATGCTCCTGTCCAGCCTCATTCCTCCATCCCAGCAGGAAACTCAGCCTGGCTCCCATTCAGATCCGCTCCTGGAGGGATAATGGGAACACATCCACCCTGATGGGGCTGATCCCGCAGAGAGAGGGGTATTCCTGCAGCCCTGGGGCTGGGGATGCCCTTCCCGCTCCAGCCCAGAGCCTGGAGCCTCCCTGGAGAAGCCCTGGAGCTGTGGATAAAAAAGGGATTTTGGTGGGGATTTTTAAACTGTTTTTCATTGGGTTTTCCCAATATTTTGTGGGTTGTGTTTTCCCAGGACAGGCAGTGGGATATTGTCCCTCGGGGATGTCAGGAGCATTCCTGGCTCCTGCATGTCCACCTTGGTGACCATTACCTGTCCAGGTAAATTCCATCAGTGCTGTCTACAGGGACTGATCCTGGGGGAGTTGAAGCTCTGGGATGGAATCCCCAGCTCTGAGATGGAATTCCCAGTTCCATGATGGAATTCCCCTATCTGTGATGGAATCCCCAGCTCTGGGATGGAATTCCAAGCTCTGGGATGGAATCCCCAGCTCTGGGATGGAATTCCCATCTCTGGGATGGAATTCCCAGCTCCGTGATGGAATTCCCAGCTCCGTGATGGAATTCCCAGCTCCGTGATGGAATTCCCAGCTCCGTGATGGAATTCCCAGCTCTGGGATGGAATTTCCAGCTCCATGATGGAATTCCCAGTTCCATGATGGAATTCCCATCTCTGGGATGGAATTCCCAGCTCCGTGATGGAATTCCCAGCTCTGGGATGGAATCCCCAGCTCTGGCACATCTAGGCTGGAGGCTGGAATGTCCCTTTGGGAGAGCTGCACATGGAGCTCCCTGGAGAAATGATGGGCAATGGCTTGGTCAGAGGTTTGGGGTGACTTTTATCCCGATTTTTGCTGACCCTTGGGATGGGTTTTGCCCATGGCAGAGCCAAGGGCAAGGACAATCTTTGAGTTTGGGGAGCTCCCAGCAGATTGAGCTGGAATTCCAAGGATCAGTAATTCCAGGGGCAGAGGGAGGTGATGATTTTAAATTTACCTGCTCCGGAATTGTCCAACCAAAGCTTGACCCTTTCTCTCCCAAAATCTTAACGACTTCCTTTTCCTGGAAAAAAAAATTAGCTTTGAATTTTAGGATTTTTCCACCTCTAAAATGGTTTCTCCTCCATCCTTCCCCCCTTCCTTGCATTTTTCCTGTTACTCCTTTGTTTTTTATTTTCCTTGTCTTGTCTGAGTGTGGGGAAAAATAATTCCAAGCAGAAATCAAGAACCTGGAAAACTCTGAACATTTTCATTTGGTTCCTTGTTGAAAATGAGAAGAATTCTTTTGTTTGAAGGGCTGCCAGGGTGGGATTCCCACCCAGACCCACCCTGACCTGTTGGAGATGCCTTGGATTAGGTGGTGACCACTCCAGCCTTGTCCAGGGCCACTTTCCAGGAGGCAGAAAGGAGCAGGGATGGTAAATGGAGAAGGGAAGATTTCATTGCTCATTTTTCCGTGGTATTTTCCTGCCTGGCGCCCTGGATGAGCAGAGAAGCTGTTGGCCCATCTGTTTCCAGCACCATTAAAGGCCTCTGACTGCATGTGGCCCTCAGAAATAAAATAAAAATAAGACCCTGTGCTCTGAAAATGTCAGAGGCTCTTTGATCCTGGCCGCCCCCCAGCTGGGCCCACATCCTCCCAAGGCTGAGCAGGAGGAGAGGGTTCCCACCACCCTGCCCCGTTTTTCGGGAAAAGAAGGAAGTGCAGCGCTTGGGGTTGGTGACCTCTGAGTGCTGCTCCCCTGGAATTCTCCATCCCCTTTCCTGCAGCTGCCCACACCGGGCTGGGGCGCAGGAGGGAAGGGGTTAAAGGCGGTTTTAGGGGGGCTGGGAGCAGGGAAGGGGCTTTGGGGGCAGAGCTGGGCCAGCAGGATGCAATTAATGACCCCGAGATTGCTCCAAGATGGGCTGGCAGCTCCTCAGCCCTGCGAGCCCTGCAGCTCCATCCTGCTGGCAGCCCCTGGGGGCTCAGCTTCTTCGGGGTGCACTGCAAAGATCCAGCACCAGTCTGGCACCAGTGCACCCCCCTGGAGGGAATTTGGGTGGAATTGAAGCCTTTGGGGGTCTTTGAGGCGCACTGCAAAAACCCAGCATCAGTTTGACACCAGTGCACCTCCGTGGAGGGAATTTGTGTGGAATTAAAGCCTTTGGGGATCTTTCATGCACTGCAAAAATCCAGCACCAGTGCACCTCCGTGGAGGGAATTTGTGTGGAATTAAAGCCTTTGGGAAGCTTTGGGATGCACTGCAAGAATCCAGCACCAGTCTGGCACCAGTGCACCTCTGTGGAGGGAGCTGGGACATCTTGGCTGGAGGCTGGAATGTCCCACTGGGAGAGCTGCACATGGAGCTCCCTGGAGAAATGATGGGCAATGGCTTGGCCAGAGGTTTGGGGGGACTTTTTGGGAAGGTCCCTCCTCCTCCAGCCACTCAGACCTTAGAAATCCAGCCCTGGCCACCCATTGTGTCACCTTCCCTCTGTCCTCCTCCTCCTCACCCCATTCCTGCAGGAATTTTAGGAGCATTTTATTGCTGGGCAAATCTTTGTTCTCTTTTCTTGCCAGGGAAGTGATTTTGAAGGAGGGCAAAAAACCCCAGTGGATTTTGGGGTGGATCACTGTGAGGACAGATAGGAACAGGACAAATTCCCAATCTGCCCCTGTTCCCCGCACAGGAACAGCACAAATTCCCAATCCAGCACAAATTCCCAATCTGTCTCTGCTCCCTGCACAGGAACAGCATAAATTCCTAATCCAGCACAAATTCCTAATCCAGCACAAATTCCCAAATCCAGCCCTTTTCCCTGCACTGGAACAGCACAAATTCCCAATCTGTCTTTGCTCCCTGCACAGGAACAGCACAAATTCCCAATCCAGCACAAATTCCCAAATACAGCACAAATTCCCAATCCAGCACAAATTCCCAAATACAGCCCTGCTCCCTGCACTGGAACAGCACAAATTCTCAATCCAGCACAAATTCCCAATCTGTCTCTGCTCCCTGCACAGGAACAGCATAAATTCCTAATCCAGCACAAATTCCTAATCCAGCACAAATTCCCAAATCCAGCCCTTTTCCCTGCACTGGAACAGCACAAATTCTCAATCCAGCACAAATTCCCAAACCCAGCACAAATTCCCGATCCAGCACAAATTCCCAATCCAGCCCCACTCCCTGCACAGGGACAGCACAAATTCCCAATGTGCTCCAGTTCCCTGCAGAGAACAGCACAAATTCCCAATCCAGCCCTGCTCCCTGCACTGGAACAGCACAAATTCTCAATCCAGCACAAATTCCCAAATCCAGCACAAATTCCCAATCCAGCCCTGCTCCCTGCACTGGAACAGCACAAATTCCCAATCCAGCACAAATTCCCAATGTGCTCCAGTTCCCTGCAGAGAACAGCACAAATTCCCAATCCAGCACAAATTCCCAATCTATCACAAACTCCCAATCAGCACAAACTCCCAGTCCAGCACAATTTCCCAAATCCAGCACAATTTCCCAAATTCCCAATGTGCTCCAGTTCCCTGCAGAGAACAGCACAATTTCCCAATCAGCACAAACTCCCAATCCAGCACAAATTCCCAATCTATCACAAACTCCCAATCCAGCACAAATTCCCAGTCCAGCACAATTTCCCAAATCCAGCACAAATTCCCAATCAGCACAAACTCCCAATCAGCACAAACTCCCAGTCCAGCACAAACTCCCAATCCAGCACAAACTCCCAATCTAGCACAAACTCCCAATCTATCACAAATTCCCAATCCAGCACAAATTCCCAGTCCAGCACAAATTCCCAATCAGCACAATTTCCCAAATCCAGCACAATTTCCCAATCCAGCACAAACTCCCAGTCCAGCACAAAGTCCCGGTGCAGCCCTGCTCCCTGGATGGGGCTGCTCAGTCCCCAGCTGCCGGAGGTGACACAGCAAGCAGTGCAAAACGCGCTCGGTTTCCCCGGAGATGTGCTCAGGGTAGGGCATTATTATTTTTTTTTTGGCTCCCCAGCAGCTGTTGAGCAATCCCTGGTCCTCCCAAAACAAACAGGGAGCAGCTCTGGTGGCCAAATGTTGCAGGCTCTGCTGGAGTGAGTGTCAGCGCAGCGCCCGGGGCTCCGCAGCATATTATATTATATTATATTATATATCACAATGTATAATATATAATATATTCTATCGAATATAGAATATATATTATAATTATTAATATTATTTATTATATACAATAATATATGATATAATATATAACATATTATTATATATTATACATTTGATATTGTACATATATTTATATGTACAATAAAAATATATAATATATGATAATATGTTTATTATAGTATATTATTAATTAATAAAGTCATATTATAATGATATAATATATTAAATACTATATAATATTATTATAATATGACTTTATTAATTAAGAATAGTCTTAAAGAAAGCCAAATGTTGCAGGCTCTGCTGGAGTGAGTGTCAGCACAGCGCCCGGGGCTCCACAGCTGCGCTTCCTCCCCCTCCTCCTCCTCCTCTTCCTCCTTCTGCTGGGGACATCGGGAGCCGAGCACGGACAGGGGACTCCGGGCTGGAATCCCAAAGGATGGTGCTGGAGGATGAAGATGTTGGATTTCTTTAATATAAAAGAAAATATATTTAATATTAAATTCAGGAAATTAAATTAATTATTAAATTTAAAATATAAAGTTGTTTCTATTATATTACATTATATTATATTACATTACATTATATTATATTATATTATATTATATTATATTATATTATATTATATTATATTATATTATATTATATTATATTATATATCACAATGTATAATATATAATATATTCTATCGAATATAGAATATATATTATAATTATTAATATTATTTATTATATACAATAATATATGATATAATATATAACATATTATTATATATTATACATTTGATATTGTACATATATTTATATGTACAATAAAAATATATAATATATGATAATATGTTTATTATAGTATATTATTAATTAATAAAGTCATATTATAATGATATAATATATTAAATACTATATAATATTATTATAATATGACTTTATTAATTAAGAATAGTCTTAAAGAAATAATATTAATTAAATTAATTAATATTAAATTAAAGAAATAATATTTTATATTACATGTTCTTGAATGTGAAAGATTCAGGGGGTTTATCCCATAAGTGAAGGTTGGTTTTTATTCCCAGGGGTGGCTCCTGGGGTTTGGGGTTTGTGACTGATCTGCACCCCAAACCCTGGGCCCAGCTCATCAAAGCGCCTCCCAGGTGAAAATTACCCCAAAACTGAACATTTGGTCAGCAGGGCTGGAGAATTGGACATTCCCAGTTTAAAATGTCCCCAAAATTGAACATTTGTTCAGCAGGGCTGGAGAATTGGACATTCCCAGGTGGAAAAGTCCCCAAAATTGGACATTTATTCAGCAGGGCTCGAGAATTGGACATTCCCAGTTTAAAATGTCCCCAAAATTGGACATTTGGTCAGCAGGGCTGGAGAATTGGACATTCCCAGTTTAAAATGTCCCCAAAATTGGACATTTGTTCAGCAGGGCTGGGGCTCTGCTCTCCTTTCCCTGCTCCCTCCGCCCAGGGCAGGCACCGATTTGCTCCCTGCCTTTGCCTTTCTGTGCAAACCCAGAAAATTGGGTGCTAAAAGCAATTTTTTGCTGCTCAGGGCTGCTGGGAGCGTTTTGCAGAGGTGCAAAGTGCTGGACTGCAGTGTTTGCAAACAGCTTCTGCTTTTCAGGGACAAGAACACCAAAAAATAATAAAGGAATAAACGCAGAAGCCCCAGGGAGAAGCTGGAGCCCGGCCAGGACGTGGGGCTGGGGCTTTTAACCCTTTCAGAGCTGCTTTACCCTGCCCGGGGCAGGGGGATCCTGGCTGGAGATGCTGCAGGTGCAAAGCTGGGAGGGGAATGTCACACCAGAGGTTTATCCAGGGCTCTGTTATTAATCCAAATATTTACTGGGCTTTTCCTTCATTTTAAAGCTGCTCTGGCTGTTCCTTGGGTTTGTCAAAGTCCGGGTGTGGGATCGTGGCTGGAGCTGCTGCAGGTGCAAAGCTTTAAGGAGAAGATCAAGAATTTATTCAGGATTATCCTATTAATCCTAATATTTAATATTTTTTCCTTCATTTTTTCTTTATTTTCCTTTTTTAAAACTGATTTTAAAACTCATTTTGACTACTTCTTGAGTTCCTAAAATTCCAGATTTTTGTTGTGGGCACCAAATGAGGAGAAGCCCCTGAACCCCATAATTTTTAGGCTGGAACAGGTTTTTTTTTGAAACTCAACGTGAGGCTTGCATAAAGCTCTTAAAATTAGTGCTGCCTTTCAAGCCCAAGGGCCGGAATAAGGTTTACAAGCCATAAAAGCCTCTTATCAAAGTTGATTTCCTCCAACGCACCTTTCATCTTTTATAGTATTTGCTTTTCAAATCCTTGAACTTAAAAGGATTAAACAGGTTAAAAGAAAAAAAAAAAAAAAAGGGGAGGGGGGAGAGAAAACAAACAGGAGGGAAGATGGATTGAGTCTGGATTAGGGGAGGCCCGGATGAAATATGAATTAGGAGAAAGTCTAAACAAAGAGTTGTCATTTTTTCTGAGCTGCTGAACATTAACTGCAGGCCCAGCTTTAGGGAATATTTGATTTCTCCGGGTTATTTTTTCACTTTGCAGAAGGAGCGGAGCAGGGAGCAGCCGAGCAGGGCCAGATTGGGAATTTGTGCTGATCCTTTGTGTCCTCACAGTGATCCACCCCAAAATCAACTGATTTTTTTTTTTCTTTTTTTTGCCCTGCTGCAAAATCACTTCCCTGGCAAGAAAGGAGAATAAAGATTTACCCAGCAAAAAAAAAAGCTCCTATTCTTTTTTTTGCCCTGCTGCAAAATCACTTCCCTGGCAAGAAAGGAGAATAAAGATTTACCCAGCAAAAAAAAGCTCCTAAAATTCCAGGAGCTGGGAGAGGGATCAGCGATCTCCCCTCCTCTCAGGGAACTGGAAAAGCAGCTTGGAGGGATTGTGGGGACTTTTCCAGGACTTCCCTGGACACAGCAGGGTCTGGGACAGAACCTGGGCTGGTTCTGGCTCTGCTCCCTCCCTACAAGTTTGGGGCTGAAAAAGATTTTGGGGCTGGGAAAAGACTTTGGGACTGATAAAAGGTTTTGGGGCTGAGAAAAGGTTTTGGGGCTGAGAAAATATTTTGGGGTTGATAAAGGTTTTGGGGCTGAGAAAATATTCTGGAGCTGATAAAAGATTTTGGGGCTCATAAAAGATTTTGGGGCTCATAAAAGATTCTGAGGATGATTAAATATTTTGGGGCTGAGAAAAGGTCTTGGGGCTGATAAAAGTTTTGGGGCTGATAGAATATTTTGGAGCTGATAAAAGATTCTGGAGCTGATGAAAAATGCTGGGGCTGATAAAATATTCTGGGGCTGATAAAAGATTCTGGAGCTGATAAAAGATTTTGGGGCTGATAAAAGTTTTTAGGGATGATAAAAGACTTTGGGGCCGATAAAAGATTCTGGTGCTGATAAAAGATTTTGGGGCCGATAAAATATTTTGGTGCTGATAAAAATATTCTGGAGCTGATGAAAAATGCTGGGGCTGATAAAAGATTCTGGAGCTGATAAAAGATTTTGGGGCTGATAAAAGTTTTTAGGGATGATAAAAGACTTTGGGGCCGATAAAAGATTCTGGTGCTGATAAAAGATTTTGGGGCCGATAAAATATTTTGGTGCTGATAAAAATATT